TCCCGATTCTTAATCTCAGTTTGGCGCTAAATAAAATATCTCATTATTGAAGAAATAATTATTTTAGCATAAATTTGTGTGATTAGTAACTTGACTCCATATAGCTGCGTATCTGCTTGGCATAATCTCAAAACCGAAAACATTTGTTAATTTTACACCAACTAATATTTTATATCCTTGATGCCGAAATCGCGAATCATTATTTATTGTATTTTGCTTTCATCACCGCATGACAACTTGAGTGATGACTCATGCAGCGACGCCAAATAACAGAGTATTATCCGATTACAGATTTAAGTTTAATGCGCTAAAATGTTGACAAGGGGAGATTTAACAGAAATTTCTTTCCTTATGCTAAAAATAGATTTTGTTAATGATACTCATAGGACAAACGATTATATTTAGTGCTATTTGAATTAAGAATAACTGATTTGTTATTCACATAAAGCCAGAAACCAGCGCCAGAGCTCGCATGGCCGCACCAGGCGGCAGAGAAGAATTTAGGGAAGTTAAACAGAAGTTTTTCATTGCGATGACAATGCCCCAATCATCAATCAATTAACGGAGGGCGAAATCTGTAGTATGGTTCTAAATCCAGAAAATACAGCTACCGATAGTGAAGAAGAAAGTAACAGAGAGGTTACTGAACGAGAAAAAATTTTGATTGACAAGTTATTCGGAATTCTCGACACAGCAATTACAGGACTTGAACAATGGAACTTAATAACTGAACAAGAAATTATATGTCTATAGTATTAGTCTAAAGTATTAGCAGAGAGAAAAAAAACAAATCAAACAACTCACATTGAAAGAAATGTTTAATAAAGTAAACATATAAATATTAAGCTCTTTTCTTTTGTAAATTTTGATACCCTTTAAATCACAAATGCTTCATTATTTCATAAATCATGATTTCATATTTTCAATTTTATAATTTCTACATGCCATCTTAGTAGATTTAAAATGATCTAATATCCGGAAAAATCTCAAATCTGGGATTGCCGAAGTCCCGACGAGTCCAGACCTCGGACTTTGTACTATATATATATATATTGAAAGATGTTAAAGTTTTTGTATAAGAACTTTAAAACTTAAAAATTAAAATATTAAAAAAATTATAAAAGGTTGGAGATAATATATAAAGTGGGTACATTAGGAAAGAGATAAATAGTGCTAATAGCTGCTATTTAGCATATCAAATGTTGTATGATCTTAAATTCATTTAGTGCGAAAACAAGTTACTACTACTTGTGCAATTGCAAGTTAGTTATATATATATATTCGTATTATATATATATATATAATACGGAATGTATATTTTCAGTTAAACTTCTACCCAATAACTTTAGTAATTCATAAAAGTTAATTTTGCGTCTAGTTAATTCAGGAAAATTAGTTTCAATTAGTTGTTTTCAGCTTTAAAAATATTAAAAATTTTTTACATTAGTTAGTTGTTTTCAACTAATAATTGTATCGCCATTAGCAAAAATAATGCATACTATCAACAACAGCTATTACTATTGGAATTTATCAGAATGCATAGGATTTAATAACATTCAAAGCCATTCCTTTTACTTAATTGTCTATTGAAGCTTCAAAACGTACTTCACTTTTTCTCGACTAGCGTTACCGAATTTGCCCTTGGCGACCTAAAATCGAAATGGAGCCAACAGATTTCCCTCGAAATCGATAACAGACCATCTGCAGAAATAAACTCATAATTCCGATATCCATATATATAGTATGTGTAAAAGAGAATAAACTCCGTAGAAGGTGATAAAATATTAATTTATGGCTTAATTGAAACAAACACAGAAATTAAGCGTGTGGAAAAACAAATTGAAATGATAAAACGAAACTTAATTTTCATGTGAATTTTCAGCGCTGACTCTCCCATTCTAGAAATTTCAATTTGTTTCAGACAAAGACCACATTTAGCTTTATAAGGATTGTCATCCATCAATATCCAGTCTTTGTAGTCAGCTTGATGAGGCCACAGTTTATTGAAAATGCACTTTCCAGGTATCTCGTTGCTATTGGCGTAGGAAGGGTTGTGGCCTTCAGAATCCCCCCTTTTTTTCTCAGCACCTTCATTATCACTTTCGCTTCTTAAAGAACTTCCGGCTTCACGCTTTCGTCACAATTTGCCTAAATTTATGGATAACACCTGTTTCGAAAGATTGGGTGAATAACCAATCAGACACCGATACTTTTGTTCGGGTAGCTAATTGTTTTTTTTTTTTTTTTTTTTTTTTTTTTTTTTTCCCGTTTGCAACGCAAATCCGCCAACAGATTGGTTAAGAGCCGTGTAATTTTAATTCCATATTCATGAAAAATCGCAATTCACACTGAGAATGGCAATCATTAAAAATGATAAGAAATGTCAAATGAGCAAAATTAAGCACCGTTTATTCATTTTGGCTACAATTAAGGACTTTTAAGAACCAAAAATCATTTTTGAAAAAATTAAGGACTTTTAAGGACCATACGAACCCTGGATAATATATTGCCATGACAATTATGCTTGCTTTAAATGCCCTTACAATATTTTTTTTTTTTTTTTTTCAGTACAGTCTCTATCAAAGATAACAATGAACTAGTAGTGACTAAGCGTCACAGACATTTTAACTCTACACTTAAAATACACATCACACTACTAATCAATAAAATCTACCAGTATTATTTCCCCCTTTCTTTGAACCCGACATTATTATTGAGGAAAATGAAAAATATTTGATATTTTTAATAAATTGGCAAGCTCACATTTCAAACCTCTTTGAGTAAAGTATTTTACTTTGCCTGAAGACTGATGCTAAATTTCTCAATTTGTTAATGCCTCAAGCAATTAACTCATTTAATTACACAAGCTAACTTATCCATTTTATTTATTTTCTCCATATACTGACAAAAATAGAATATATAAAATGGTTCAAAAATCCCTCGCACATATATATACATGATAAAAAAAAAATTGCTACAGAAATGTTACTTTAACCTTTAACTACTGTGACTTAAATTGTCGCATAACTACTGTGAGCGGTCTCTCAGACCGCTTCTACTAAAAATAAAATATGATTTTTTTTTCTTATTTGAATAAATGTTATTTAATTTCATATATTTAATGTTTTCATGAAGATATAAAGCAATTTTTTTATACTTAAATCAGTTCATTAAAAATAAAATATTATACTATGATAATAATTCCTTTGCTTACGTATCTGGATGGAAGAAGTAAATTTTAAAATTCAACTTTTTTATTTTACATTAAAATTTGCGATAAGAATGCTTTAATAAGAATATAGAAAATTAATTTTTATTTTAAAAATTATAATTCGAGCAGCATTTTATACATACTTTTCTACTGCTTTGTAGACGCACCGATTCTTTGCATGCTATATATTTGTAAGCTATTTTCCTTTTTTTTTGTTCGGTGGATAAATATAGCACGTACTTTTTTTATCTAATTTATCGTCTTCAATCGCATTGTTTCCTTCATCATCATTTATTCCGAAAACTCTTTTTATTGTAAGTTTGAGTTCTTTAGGTAAAAATGATGAAGTTATCCTCCGTTTTACATGAGACTGCACTAATTGAATTGCTAATGAAATCTTTTTGTTTCATTTTCGGAGCCAATGGGTTAAGTTTGAAATAATTACGAATGCATTTATTGCACAGATATCCAAGTTTCTGAAGAATATTGCCATAGGCCAACTTCGTGTTTGACGAGCAGTTGGATAGAATGAACGAAGAATAATATTGTGACTACGAGTTCGAACACCCTTGTTGGGCTCTTGAATAGACCATTTGAATTCATTTTTTCCAATAAAAAAATCTCTTGTAGAAGGAGAACATGGATTTTCACTTTCATTGTCAGATATCTTTGAGGTTGTGTCGTGGTCACTCTCCATAATTTCATCATGGGAACTTTCATCAGAGAACTCTAAATTAGACCAATTTTGATCTATGTATTCAATTTGGTCTTAGGTAAGATATATAGAACGTTTTCCGCACGTATTCCAAGCCATTACAAGAATATTTATAAAAAAGCGAAATATGTAACAACGAAAAGTGAACCTTATCAGCCGAAATTTGAATCGTATCTGCTGTGATCGGTCCCACAGACCACTGAGGAGGGAAAATTTAAAAAAGTGAAAGAAAAAATATAGCTACCCAAATGCAACTTGGTATGTGACCTTGGACAACTGATCTAGGAAGGTACTAGGAATGGCAATACCCATTAATTATTCTAAGGGGTGGAAGCATTTAATGGAAAATGTCTCGCGGTCTGAGAGACCGCTCACAGCAGTTAAAGGTTAAAGATATTGGAATAATTATAGGGTTTTTATAACACTGTCCTTCAATTTAAATTTGTAAAATTTTTGTTGCTTGAAGTATATAGAAACAGTGCTGAATTTCAATCCAACTGTGTATTTGAACTGAAAATGAAAATCTTAACTGTCTGATTTACTTTTGTTTTGAGTTCTACTATGCTTGCCACTTAGAATATGCCCAGTTTATTTTTGATATATATTTCACTAAAAGAAATAAGAGTGAAATGCTTCATAAGATTTTACTAAACACTTGACAGGAAATTCCATGTTCAGGCAAACTTATACAATTTTATGGCAATAAGTTTGGCAATAAGGTGTCTCTAAGCTGCAACAAAATAGTATTTGCGAGAAAAATGCAAAGATTTCAGGGACTGTAAAAATTTCTTTACATTTAAGTAATTTTTTGTATTTTTCAGGGGGGAGGGGAGGATGTTGAAAATTCATGGGGAAAGTCTGTAGCAATCTCTGTAAAATTTATGCTTTTTATTTTTTAATTACATCTTTCTTCGAATTTTATGAATGTATCAATGGCTTTCAGACCCTTGTATTAGTACATAATATCAAGGATGTACTTGTATTAGTACATGATATTAAAGGTAGTCTAAAACCATCTAAAACAGGAAATGTCACATGCAGTATTCTAAAAAATTTAGAAGGAAATACACCAACCATTGCAAGCTTTAAATTTTTGTCTGTGACAAAAGAGTCTCCAGTAGCACAATCTAAGCCAAATACAGCACATATATCTCCAGCATAAGCTTCATCAATGTCTTGCATTTCATCTGCATGCATTCGGACAAGTCTAGATGCTTTATGACGTTTGCCAGTTCTTGAATTATACAGATATTCTCCTTTTTTCAGTTTGCCTTGATAAACTCGTAAATAAGTTACTTGACCATACCTTCCAGCCTAAAAGAAAAAAATACACAAATTTCTACATATACAAAGTAAATAAAAAATATACAGGATGCAAACACAAATTAAATAAATGTTCTTTCCCTCTTCATTTTTTACTTTGAATGAAAAAAGTCTATGAGAGAAAACTATTAAGCAAGAGGAAGAAATGTAAGTACATTATTACCAAAAATTTATTAAAGGTATTTGCAGTTTAGCTCTAAGCATTTCAAAACTGGTTATCCATGAATTTTTATATGAAAAATTATGTAAACATTCTTTAAACACAGTGATTTAACAGAAATTTGGGATACTTATTAACATGATATTCTTTCAGAAAGTAACTTTTAACAAAAATGATCTTCATGGAAAACCCTTTTGCTTTTATTACATAATATTAAAACTAAAAATTAATTAATTAGTTAATTAATTAAAATAAAATAAAAAATTAGGAAATTTCAAACTGGAAAAAATAAATTCACTTGAAATATGGCAAATTTTAAACAATTACAGAAGTTGAATTTACCACAAAATTAGAAGCTAGAGGTCTTTTTAATCCTTTACATGTTTAATTTTTTGTAAACCTTTCTTTATCATTTCATGATGTTTTATTTCTATTACCGTACAAAGTCCGAAATCCGGACTCGTTGGGACTTCGGCGATTCCGGATTAGAGGTTTTTCCAAATTATAGATCATCAATTTAAATCTGGTAAGATGGCATGCAGAAATTATACAATTAAAAATATGAAACTGTAATTTATGAAATAAAGAGCAATTATGATCTAAAGAGTATCAAAACTTACAAAAAAAAGCTTTATATTTATTTGTTTACTTTATTAAACATTTCTTTCAATGCGCGCATGCGTAAAGCATACATTAGCATAGTCAAAATTAGAAAATTGCAACCAGAAAACTATTTGATGTGTATTCGTAACATTTATAATGACCAGGAATTTGATTTAAATGATATCAAAGACGGAGTACATTGAGATGAAATACTAAACTTAGTAAGAAATTATAAGCTGAATAAAAATAAAAACATCTGCTCTGAAGATAAGGATAGTGCTCACAGATCAACTTCCAGTTCATTGCGTGCCGCAACGTCCCCCCAACCCCCAACCACAGAGCAGCCTGAAATTGATAAACAGATTTCGAAATGGTTAGAGAAACAAATCATTAAGCCAAGCTGTTCTGATTACGCAAGTAATATCGTACTAAGTAGAAAAAAATGCGGTTCATTTAGACTACGTCTGGACTTGAATGACACTTAAAACCTGGTGAATCCCTTTACGAATATTTAATTGCCATGAGTGAAATAGCCAGTTGCGGTTCTGTTGATGATTCATCAATTCTTGATTATGTAATCAATGGGATACCCGATCAGAGAAGTAACAAAATTATTTTGTATGGGTGTAAAATTATTTCTGAATTCCAAGAGAAATTAAAAATTTATGAGAAAATCCGCATTCCAGATACGAAGAATAAGGATTATTCAAGTACTAACACACAAATAAAGCTTGTGCTATACCTAATAAGAGCAACGAACCAAGGTGTTATAACTGTGGAAGTATAGGGCATGTAATGTATGCACATTCTTTTATGCTCATGCATAAAGCATACAAAAAAAAGTTTGTGGCTTTGAAGTCCAGATTATAGATCATTCCGGATAATGGACGTCCGGATTACGGACTTTGTACTGCACTAAATAAGTGCCGAGTTCTTCAGGATCTATTGTCTTTAATTCTTTCGCCAGAAGACTAGCTGCTTCATTAAAAGCCTTTTTTTTCTCAGTAACAAGAATATATTAAAAAAAATAACAGTTTCATCTTGCTTGATATATATATATACACAAAAATCATTCAGTGATTTTTTTTAATTTAGTCCTTTTATAAGTTTATTAAATCTATAAATCGATTATATAAATCTATTGGCAACTCCTTAAGGACCCACAAAGACCATTTCAGCTTAAAGCTATTTCTACTGTTCAACGTAACACCATAAGAAAATCTGATGCACTCATCCCTCTTTGTTGTTCGATTTAGGATACAGCAGGCATACCTAATTGATGAATTAAACATTTCTTTTGCAAGGATAATGAGATTATTAGATCTTATTGTAGATAATTTTGCTGCAGTTGCATATACTTCGCTATTTTTCCTTGGTATGCTTTACCTAAGCAATTGTTTTAGTATAATTTCTTTTATTTAAAGAATTCCATTTAGTTTCAACAAACAGTCTCAACATCTTCAGGTAAGTATGTTTCTTCCCAAGTTTTAATTTTTTCAAGTGATATCAGTTCTTTGCCAATAGCTTCTTTCCACTAGGCATCTTTTACAACATCTTGACAGGTCTTGGGTTCATTATTTGATATCAACAGCCAATATTCAGTATACAGTTCAAAGCAAATCAGATATTTAGGTTTGTTTGAAGTTTAAAATTATGCATCTGGTGTAAATTTAATTGAAATCAGTTTTATGGGCAAATAGGTCTATGTCCTTCTGCATCAGGAGCAAAAAAGTTCTGCTTAAATCCACACTTTCTTTTCTTGTTTGTGCAGAATTGTAAGAGAAACTTGTACCTGGTTGACCTCAAAATCAAAAGAGTTTCAACTAAACCTCTGCTAAACACAAAGTTGTTCTTTTGCCTAATCTTCAGTTTTACTCTGGTGTGCTTCTCTTCTCTCTTGATTCTTCACAGTTCATCGATATTTTATTTTTATAGATACAACACTTTCTCTATCAGAGCCATTTATTACCATTATTTTCAATTATTTTTGTATGTTCTTCTGTGATTAGTTCTCTAAACCTGAATGCTAATTAAATTCCTCAAAAGTATCAGTTATACTGCGAATGCCAATGGTGAAGCGAGCATAATTGGCACTTTAGGCACGGTATCTTTTTGGTGTCCCCTCCCTGAAAAACACAGAGTAATATAATATAAAGAACATAATACTGTCTTGGGGACGATCTCACGTCCCTGAGGGCACGATACACCCCTTCTCCCGCCTCTTATTATGCCACTGGACTTCATTATTTACATTGTTTAGATTTTCTTTTCATGATGTTTCATGTATGACACTCTGGATGAAACAAACTTCATATACATCTACACATATATTACTGCAAAAGCCTGAAAAGTGACAAACCTTAAATTCTGTCCATAAACAGTAAGATTTACGACAGCACGCGAAGGCATGGATGTAAAATTATCTGTCCTTTCACAGGAGGTAATGGTGGTTGCCTATTAGATGCCTCCACAGCAAAATGACTACTGCTTTTGACTTTAGTAAGGCCAAAGCCTAAAATGGCTAGTGCTCACCATAAAAATAATAATTAAAAAAAAAAAAAAAAGTATAACCAGAGAATAAAAGTTCAGAAAATACTGAATTTTGGATTTTTACCAAATTATTTTAGTAAATGCCAGCAGTTATTAGAATGCAATACACTGTTGATATGAAGAAGTTTCTCAAACATATAAAAAATTTCTAATACTTATGTATTTTGCCACTGACCATTTCAACAAATAAAAATTGTCACTAAATAGTGCGATTTATTGCTAATAGTGGATAAGTGTGACGTTCAAAACACTCATAAGATCTCTGCTTTGGTTTTCTGTAATTCTGACTAATTCTCAGTAAGCCAGTTTTGTTTTTGTGAAGAAAGATGCAAATTAACTGCTATTTTTATGTTTTCCTCTTCCCTGCTATTTATTTGTCCCCCCTTTCCATTAAAAAAAATGAATAAATTTTGGGATCTGCCTTCTGCAAAACAACAATCAGTGAAGTATTTTCAAAGTTACAAGATAGTGGAATTATAAAAGACACGCAAAAACAAAGCGAGTCAAATATTTTTATAGCAGTGAATATTTAGTGGGTTCTGCAGAGAGAGTGGTGAATTCTTTATTGTAAACATTCTATGCAGAAGTGTGATTACTCTAATGGAAGAAATAAAAGGTGGTGAATAGAAGATTTACAAAAATTAACGAAATATAAGCTGAAGATTTGATTTCTTTTCTTTTCTTTTTTTTTTTTTTTTTTAATTGAATATTTGTAAGCTAAGCACCAATATAATTTCGCAGATACTGATACTCATGCTTATACTCAAAACATTAAAAGATTGAGGTTCGACGAAATGGCACAAATAAAAAATATAGCAGAACCACACAACAGGATTTAGATATGCATAGGGTGGTCATAAGAAAACTTCTCCCACTATATAAACACTAACAGCCTATATGCTCAACCAACTGAAACAAAATTTCAGATATTGTTATTTGAAGGTTGTGTTGTGTTGATCAAAATTGTGATTGTTTAAGACAATAGAGCTTTCACAGTTACAGTGAGAAAAATTCAAAAGTTAAAGTTGTGCTTTTTTCTGCATATCACAATTTTTTCTTGCACAACAGAGAGCTTACTGTAAAACCATAAGTGGCATTGGAAAAATACACATATGAAAATTAGCAGCATAAAACATTTGCAAAGAATAGAATTTTAAAGAACCAATGAGAACACAAAAGGAGAGGGAACCTTTTCTTTATTGGCATTACAAGTTTTTAATGTGCCCACCTTCATAAACGATACTGCATGCAGGAAATTGTTGAAAGTTTTTAATATGCCCACCTTCATAAATGATAATGTACTGCAAGCAGGAGATTGTTGAAACAATGACAAACATAATGTCACAGGAGGAATCTGTATAACTTCACATTTTATGGCATCTCCCAATTCAGACAAATCTCATGGATTTGATGTGTATACCTTAGATATGAAATAACATGAGATGCAGAAATCCATTGGAGCGAGGTCGAGTGATCACAGTGACTGTGAAACTGCAAAGTTATGGCAGATGACCTTGTTGAACATATATGGCGATGGGTGAAGGAGCACCATCTTGCATCCATACAGTGTAGTTAACGATATTTTACCGCTGCAATTCTAGCATTATGTAATTTTGCAACACAGTTGTATACCAAGCTCTTGTGATGGAGCACATTTTCGTACCTGCTGAAGTGACCT